GAAAACAATTACTTTTAGTGCCTCACACATGGTTTCGGATAGTTGGTAGCACCTAGTTTAGAGCTTAGCATAGATGCAAGATGTTTCTGGTCGGCAGTGTAAGGGTTGTGGTGGACCATTGTCGTCTTTGATTTTGATAATCCACGTGTTTGCTCCATGTGTGATGAAACTCCTGGAGGTTTTGATGGACCTCGAAGTCGTTTCTTATCAGTCGATGAAATGTGAGTGCTAGTAACTCCTTTCTTACAAAATTTCCAAAATGTCAACATTATTTCTGTATCCTTGCCAAAGCTTGTTGGATAGGCTCTTGGTTGTATGGATAAAAGCAGCGAAAGTGTTGAGTTTCGTTTACTTTATCCTCAAAATTCGTGCCAATTATTCCTGCCCTATCCAAACGCTGTTGTGTTAGCTGCGTAATTTGACCTGATTACCTTGTGGTAGCTGACTCCATCATATGGATTTGTGTTGATTACGGTGAATGTTAACTCCACCTACTCATTTGCTTTTGGGGGTTAATATATTATTATATATATATTATATTATATTATAATATATTCACTTGACTTCCTATGAGGTCAGGGCGGTTTTTGTAAGTCATTTTGGAAATGTGACGTCCGGCAGGAATGTAGTAATACGTTCCCGGTTTTGTTGCCTGTCTATTGTTTGACTCGTCTTGAATACCAATTGTGTGGGCGTCTATTACTTGGATCTATGTCAAGTCAAATGAAGGAATGGTAACCCTCTGATGTCCCCAAAACTGTTCCTTTCCCTGCCAAAGATTTAAGCAGGAGCTGGTCCATGTTTAGTGATCTTCTTGACAAAATTTGCTTGTGTTGGAAGTGCAAATGTTCATTTTTTCTACATTTTGATGATGTGTGAGATGCAATGTAGGTCCTTTGTTTGTCTTAACTTTAGCGCTTGTTAAATTTTGTCGGTTTGATGTGTGCTCCATAACCTATCTTATGGAGATAAGGTGTCTTGAGAGAATGGTTGTACGTCTTTTGCGTAAATTGAAAGTGTCTAGTCCTTTTGAGTTATGCATGAGGTGTGCCGTGAATTAACGCCCGTTCCAATTGCTTCTGCTGTCCTCTGCTGCAGACTGCTTACTTTGGCTCTTAGCCCCTAGCACCTTTAATCACGTATCATTCACTTGAAGGTTAATAGAGTAATTAGTCTTTCCCTTTAGTGTATACGTCAGGCATTTTCACACAAAGTGATCTACTTGACTACACTGGGGGTGCCTACATGAGTAATTGGTGTGGATGTCGACCCATGCAAAGGTAATATGAGATATGCTGCCTGCTGCTACAGTTACCGGCATCAGCAGCAATGATGCCATGAGCAAGTGGTGGGGCCTCATTTTGTACCGTGCACATGAATTCGCCAAGAATTTAGATGATGCTCCTAAAGAGGATGGCAGGCAACGAAGGCATCAAATTGGATCCAGTGGATATCTACTGCAAGCACAGCCCAGCAATGGGACACGTAATCTTGCACCGGTCTATCACTTAAATGATGTCGACGTCTTGATGACGATCGCAAAAGACGAATTGTTAATGGCATTGCTGGTAGTGGTGGTTTTTCACCCTATAGAATGTGCTTTTGTATATGTGAACATACAATTTGCATGATAAATGCATGATTCGGTCCTTGGTGGAACTGTACAAGATTAGCACAGTGCATTTGCTTTTGAACGCGAGAATTCTTGATCTGTGAGAAGTTACCACAAATGCTGCATTCGAATGATGCAGCCACACTGCCAGGTCTCTTCGTGTTTCATGCTTCTAGATCAGGGGATACGTGGCTGGGTGTAGACAGAGGAAGGTTTTGTTTTCCGCCTTTTGTTGATCTTGACTTTCCACTTTTACCATTGTT